CATTCTCTTCATATCCTCCAGCTTCTTGGTAAGTTCATCCCTTTCCCTCAAAACAAGAGCTAACTGCTCAGTATGGGTGGTCTCATAAGATGCAAACCTGCCTTTACGCAACTGAGATTCATTAAGCAGGGCCTCGTGCATTTTCTTCAGACTCTCCAGCTTCTTGGTAAGTTCGTCCTTTTCCTTCGCAGCAAGAGCCAACTGCTCAGAATGGCTAGCCTCAGAAGATGAGAATGTGCCTTTCCGCAACCTAGACTCAATAAGTAAAGTCTCGTGCATTCTCTTCATATCCTCCAGCTTTTTGGTAAGTTCGTCCTTTTCCTTCGTAGCAAGAGCCAGCTGTTTGGTATGGCTGTCCTCAGAAGATGCAAACCTGCCTTTATGCAATCTGGACTCATTAAGGAGAGTCTCGTACAGCCTCTTCATATCCTCCAACTTCTTGGTAAGTTCGTCCTTCTCCTTCGCAGCAAGAGCCAGCTGTTTGGCATGGCTGGCCTCAGAAGATGCAAATTTGCCCTTACGCAACCTAGACTCATTAAGTAAAGTCTCGTGCATTCTCTTCATATCCTCCAGCTTCTTGGTAAGTTCATCCCTTTCCCTCAAAACAAGAGCTAACTGCTCAGTATGGGTGGTCTCATAAGATGCAAACCGGCCTTTACGCATCTGAGACTCATTAAGCAGGGCCTCGTGCATTCTCTTCAGATCCTCCAACTTCTTGGAAAGTTCGTCTTTCTCTTTGAAAGCAAGAGTCAGCTGCTCAATATGACTAGGATCAGAAGAAGTAATGCGGCCTTTACGCAATCTAGACTGATTTAGGAGAATTTCGTGCATTCTCTTCAGATCCTCCAGCTTCTTGGTAAGTTCGTCCTTCTCCTTCGCAGCAAGAGCTAACTGCTCAGCATGGCTGTCCTCAGAAGATGACAATCTGCCTTTCTGGGCCTCAGAGTCATTAAGCAAGGCCTCGTGCATTTTCTTCAGGCTCTCCAGCTTCTTGGTAAGTT